GATCTTGAATAATTTAGAGAAAGCGCATTTAAAATAGTGACGTTTTAACTTAAAATGATTTACTAATAATAATATTAAAACAGTTTTTGTTATAAAATAGGTCTGTAGTTTTGCATTGTCTTTATTTTATTAAATCACTTGCCAGACTTTCATGTTCTTTGTTCTCAATTTTAACCAGACTACAGATCCGAGTCTGCATCCGATTCATTTTTCTCGCTTGCTTCTTTCTGTTGCTGAGATCATTCATTTTTGCTATGATGAAATCATGCTATTTATTCAAAGGAACTCTGCTATCTTTTCAGCCGGAATTATTGTAATTTCGAGAAGTGCCCTTTCTGCAGCATTAAAAAATAAAGAAGTAAAATAAAACAAACGTTTTTACAATCTACACCACATGACCCCAAAAAATGTATTAAACCTAGACATCGCAAAACGTTGTTTGTTTCAATATATTATTCGAAATATAAATGAAAAGGAAATATATTTCTAAACAATAATCACATTATTATACTTAGAACCTTTATTCTAAAATTGATATTTCTTATAAAATTTATATTATAAATTTGATACTTCTTATAAAATTGATATCTCTTATAAATGGAGGAAAAGATTTTTGTAATATAGTATTCAGATTATAATATTCGCTTTACTTAAATTAAAATATATTGAATGATGCTATTTCTCTTCTAGCAGTAGTCTCAAGTTTTACTATGACTTAATTTTCGATTTTTGTTTTGTTTTATGTTTAACGCTTGCTTTTTGTTTTTGCTTTTTTTTGTTCAGTGCTTAAAAAAATGCTTTTCTTATGCCAATTGTGATTATGTGATTATGTCAATTCTTATGTCAACTGTGACCGACTCTTGTGTCAAATGTAACTCTTGATATCTTTGTATGTATAGCGTATTAAATGCATTCATATAATGCTTCGTACTTACGTAATTAAACATTTTATTGACGCCTAGTTAATGATATTTCCATTTGGTACTTTTTCTCTCTCATTAAGTTAAAAAAAAAGGTTAAAAAGTAAAAAAGAAAAATGGAAAACTTATCGGACTCCCTTCTCACACAGGGAGATATTATATGTGAAAATCAGTTATTACTGTATTTTGAAACGGAGAAATTGAAATTTCTATTCATTTTTCATTTGCACTTAAATATTTGTCATATTGTACTTATTTGTTGCATTATACTTATCAATACTTTCTGAAGACCAGTTTATTATGTTTGAAATTAAAGGCTATCCTGTTCAGTCTATTGCCTTTTATTATCTTCTATTAAGACTAATTAATTTGATGGCTGATTTCACTTTTACAAGAAATGAAGGTTCTTTATATCCTTTTGGCGTGACTCAAAAACTAATTTATACTGTAAAATAGTGTTAATTCTTTGCATGAAACTCACGTATTTGAGCAAAGACTTTCAACATCATTACTTTCACTGAATTTTTCCTTTTTCCGAAGCCGCGATCTATCCAAACACCTGCAGCTGGCGAACTGAGACAATATCTCCATCCTACTCACTATGAGCGTCACAAACGAGCTCTCTGAAAGTTTTTCTACGTTTTTTCCACCCTGTACTATAAAAAAGGGATAATCTCGGTGCGCCCGGAGAGGGTGGGTTTCGGGGAGATAAAAAAAAATGAAAACAGGATTGAAAATGAAGAAATGAAAGAGAAAAAAAAGGAGTTGCGTCTTCCTTGGTCCAAACCTTCCACCTCCTTTGCCATTTCGACCGTTTTCGTCATTTCGTGTTATTTTTCTTGGATCTGAGAACATCAGTCGCAGTGCTGCGGAGGGGCATACCAAAATGCTTACCTACGCCTAACGAGTTTCAATATCCTCTCCTTCTCTTATGGCCATAAGGCTGTTGAGTTTTTTTTCTCCCTTCCTCAGATTTGGCTAGTGCGATCATAATGCGTCACCCTGCTGATGTCCAATATGAAAGTTGGAAGAATGCATAAAGTGGAATAGTTTTGCATCAATCTTTTGCATTGGTAAAAATGACTTTTAAAAACTGCATTAAGTTTAGTACACTGAATGTCTGAAATTGAATGCAAACCTTTCAAATAGTAATGAAATTTTATGTTAGCATAATTTCTTTAATTGCACTATTTCCTGATATAATGTTGCTTCTCATACCGCAATTTCTGATATTACGCATGTGTTGATTAAGACCTTGTGAAAATAACGCGGCCCTGGATTAAGGCAGTCAACAACAAATTAATTATTTTTCAGTAGTGTGAAATTACTTTCTTTTGAATAATGCGTTCTCAAATTAACATCCCTAGTTGCCTATTAGGTCTTTTGAAACTGCGGTATTCTGATGATAAATACAAATGAAACAATACTAAACATTAAAAAAAAGTAATGGAATTACAAAAGCACAATTTTGTGCTAAGACTTTCATCTCTTCAGCAGCTGAAAAATTCCTTTTCAAAAATACTTACATTTATTCATAAAAAAATTACTGAGGAGCTGTTTGATAGTCTCAAAAGAAAAGAACCCCCAATCATTCAAAAAATTCAAAGTGACTTGAAGAGATGTACATCTAAGTGGACAACGTTTAGTAAATATCGGGAGTAACACAAAACATCCCAGCCATATTCCATAAATCTTTCTCTGGCATTCATCGAAATGTGGGATCAAGCGTTGTCATGATCGAAGTCAACTCATCGAAAACTCGGCAGTTCTGGGTACTTTGCGCCAACTTCGGCTTTTAAACCTACCATTTGAGAAAAGTTCTTTTTCGAATTTATAGCTGGATTTGGTGACAGCAGTTTATAGTATACAATTTTTTTGTAGTCTGAACACCGGTAATTCTAACCTAGGTTCAATTCCAGGCAAACGCCCTGGCTGCATGGGCATTTTCGTGGTTTTCCAGATGTGTACGAACCAGTTTCCGTCCTCTACGAAGGCATCCATTCCCTTAGGCAGATAGCCCTAGTGTGCTTTGTCATAATCAACTAAAATCAAAAACCTTTGTAGTCTGATCACGCAAAAGTTCTATCTCGATGCTACTAAAGGAGGTTCTTTTGACGTACACCATGATCTTTTTCTTCTAACTTTACTTCATAGTATTCATTTCTAATAATCCATTAAAAAAAGGAATTTTTGAAAGTTTATAAAACACGTTAAAAAGTAATTTAAATTAAAATAAATACATATATATTTTTCAAATTTCGGAAAGAAGGGTTGGGGGAATGGTCTTTTAGCAATGGTGAAAGGGGTGCATGAGACAAAATAGGTTACAAACTACTGATATATATATAGTGCTTTTATTTTTTTAGATCCGAATTCTATAAATTCGAGTTAATCATAGTTTAACTTTCTAGAATTATATCTTCTGAGGATACGCACGCACATATATATACAACCGTCATCATACGCTGCTAGGTGATGCTGTTCCCGAAGGCGCTGATCTGATTTTTCGTTTGACCAGTATTCGATTTGAGAAAACATACAACATAAAAAATAGAATTGTATAAAATGTTGCCCGTCGAGGGGCAAAAAATTAAAATATTGGAGATAGTGGTTCCACGTTTTCATCGAACATTCAGGGTTTTGTAGAATTAAGGAATCCTGAGTTGCTGAATGAGTTGTTTCTGCTGGCGTTGAAGTACGAAAACAGAAAAGTTATGCAAAGTACTACCTTGTGTTAATTTAATGTTTGATAATTTTCGGAGTATTTTCGAAATGTACAACGTGTTTGCCTAAAGGAACATACTTGCTGTAAGTGAAACATAAACTTAAATGGTTCTTTCCTTGAATGTAACACATGAACAGAATATATCAGCCTATGACGTGTGAGGAAATATGATAAAAATGAATAACAGGTGATTAGCTAGACTGATATGTCAGCAGGTACTTTCCTGCAACAATTCTATGCGATACGTCATATTAATGCTGTCCAGGACACTTTGCTGAATTTCTATTCCCATTCTAATCTTCGACAACTATTTTCCAGGTCAGGCTTCTGTATTTCAAACTGCCGCACCATGCTGGAGAGCATTAAGGCAACTGGCCACGGCAATAACCAGGACGACACACTCCGTATAAGCACATAAAGGGAGGACACACAGTTTTCACGCATTTATTGGCTTCTATCGCGGGATTATATAGCGTTGAACATTTCATCTCACTGCGAAGCCGCAAAGAAGAATGCAAATTTCTCAACACCTTAAGATAATCTCTGGGCATTTCCCTCTCCGTCAACTTAATGACACTAACGGCCCTCACCCCTGTCCGAGATCCTTGGAGAGATCGGCGGCAAAGCACTTAGAGTAACACAGACCCCAGAGCGTCACCAGTCGTCAATTTGCTACTTACGAGTTGCTCATGCTGCCCGTCGCAGAGGGACATTACCCGGGACGCCACCTCGGGCTACTACAACTCTAGGACCTTCCAGACCCATGGGGAAGGGCTGGCCAGTAAGTGACCTTTCTGGGCCTGCAGAACCACAAGGTTCGTAATTTGTATACTCCCGTAGCCGAGACCGCCTAGATACAGATCCTAGCCAGTAGCTTCTCAGAGTTCTCTACGTTGACCCTCGGGGAGGGGAGCGGAGTTCTCAACAGCTTGTACGGATCTTTTTCCTTCCTTATAGCTTCTTTCTAAGTGTAATTCGAAAGCACGTTCGGAGTTTGAATCCCGGCGAACGCATTGATTTTCCGTGTTTCCTGCTTCGAAATTAAACTAATTACTGTATAACTTAAAGGATTTAAAATTTCTTAAAATCGCGTTCTGATATTTTCGCAGCTTTAGTTATCCATTCGTGTACCTAAGCGTTGAAGGGAAATAAATAATATTTAGGCTGCTGAAGTAAATTTTGTGATAAGTCAGATTATTTGAATTACCTAAGCGGTCTTTAGAGAACAGAACAGAAAGTAAGCCATTCGCATTTCCAGAATACTGAAACTAATGTGAATAAAGTTAATATTATTGTCGAAGAAGATTACTGTATTTTTATTTAAATGTTTTTAATTGCAACGTCTTGTATTTTAGGGCAACAGTACCATCTACGAGCTTTTGCTTCAGCCTTCGGTCAAAGGTCTCCTTTCCTCGATCCTCGGTTGGTAGATCCTCTGAGGGAATGGGAACATATGAGGAGAAAAACAGCTGAACAATGGGCAATGGATCTGCCCATGAGGATACCAGGGCCTCATGGCGGTAAGTCATGCCTTCTGTTTTTCATTCACAGTTTTTATAACGTAAAATAAAATTAACTGATTTTCCATAATAAGACTATTATGAAATTCCTATGTTAATTCCTGGATACAATTACTATTTATAGTTTGAAATTATCTCCTTCCTTTTTGCATGACATCGAGGTGTAACGGCTAGAACACTCGGCGTGTATTCGAGAGGTCCAGGTTCGAGCCCGGCGATGAAAATGCGCATTTTTAACATCTCTTGTTTCACAAAAATACCCTTATGTCTCTACAAACAGAACTTTAATTTTATTTTTAATTTTCACCAATTTTATTCATATATATGTTACGCGAGGCAAAAGACAACAGTGAAGTGAGTAAAGCACGTGCCTCACATGAAAGACTAACTAGGGTACAAAAAGTAGTAATACATTAAAAAAATATAAATCTTCAGATTTAGGCAGTTCTTAGTTGAACAGCTCTAAGTTCATCATATCAATGATGCAGGTGTTTTAGTAAGGTGACTTATCCAACTTTTTTGGCGTTTAACGTTTTGTCTTTTTAATTTTATTTTCTAAATAAATTAAATAAAACTTTCTTCGCACTTACACCGCATAAATTTCAACAGCAAAATCGCAAAATATTTAAAAACAGCACATATTTAGAATTTTCACTAGAGTGTTCAGTGTTGCCATACCTTCTTTTATGTTAGTTAAGTTATTCCTTTAAAAATAATGCATTTGGTAGCAATATCCTTTTATTTGAAAAGTGATATAGACACAAAAATGAGACGGTCAAAAAGGGTTTTATTTAAGAGCATTAAGAAGATGAGATTTTCCTTCGCGGTAAATTCCGAATCTTCAAGTACGAAGGATGGCATTACAAATAAACATGTTAATTCGCTTGATTTTTTAAATCTGAAAATAAAGATTCAGTCAGGAAGTACGGGGGTGATCAGCTTATTTCCCTATCAACTTACTATTACTTATTTTTCTCTCAGATTCGCAGTTTTTTTATCCAATTCATCTTCCGTTGCTAATTGATGATGAGGTAATGATAGAGTAGGAACATTATGCATTATTAATCTTGCCTTAAAAACGTTAAAACAATATGTATGAAAGACCAAAATATCTGTTAAAACTGAAAAACCTTTTTTTTTCCTTCCTTCTCCCTTAACAGAAGTCTAGAAGTAGAAAGTGAAAAGTCATTAAGAGGAGAAAAATTCAGCGTTTAGTATATCCAAACGATTTTTAACACGTAGAACTTTCATTTACAGGGACGACATGAAAATATAATATTGTCATCACAAAATAAAATGCTCGCATTTCCTTTTTGCTTGTCGCCTTTTTGAAAGGAAACCTTAATTTAGCAACTTCACTGTAGAATTAATTAGCCAACTTATGTAAGAATAATTTTAAAATATCAATCTTGATCCGTTCTCCAGTAAATGAACTGAGTAGATTTTGAATGAACATTGTGAGCTTTAAATTTGAAAATAAATACATTAAACAAAATAAATCTATATATTCATTTTTCGTCTCATTTAATAAAGGTTCCAAAACATCTGTATCGTCTATTTTCTATGACAGCGAAATGTCGCGAGCATAGAGTTTGGCTGATAGCTCATTGTGGAATAAATGCAATGTGCTTAAAAGCTTAGGTCAAATGTGTTAAAGTAAATACTATATCGTTATTTTTCTATTATAAATACTATTCCTATTATAAATACTATTTATATTATAAGTACTATATCATTATTTTTCGAAACTAAACTCATCATAGTTTTTCATTAATCAAAATAGTGTTACTTTTGGCATTACGCTATTATTTCATTTGCATCAAGTCTCTGAGAATACAGAGAATATGGAATACTTGCAAATTTTGAATTCTAGTGCTATCAGAATTCTAATTAACGTTTTACGATAAGAAATACATATCATAGGTTTTAAAGCACCTCCACGCACCCCTGCAGTATGATTCTCATAAAAACGCGAATCTAGAAGGATACCAGTCAACCACCCATATTTTATGTTCAAGACATCCCCTTCTATATGCCATATTTGTATTCAGTGGCAAGCCATTCTAGACAAGATCTTTTTACTTCAATAAAAATGTTTTCGTTATTCTTACAAATACAATTATTTCCTTCGACGAACTTTCACAACGTATTACATCTGTATTTCCTCAGCAGATATCTGTTTATTTCACTATAGCTGTCGAAACTGAGGTAGTAATCTCTTCCAGCGACGTATTTCAATTCTTTTGGCGTCTTCAACTCCCGCAAGAATTGTGCAAGAATGAAACAATCTTCGTAAGAAGGTTAGCCAGAATGCACCGCACAATATTCACTCAGAAATCTCTGGAGAGTGCATATAAACATGACTTTCGAAGACGAGAAAGAAACGGGATTTTTTTGGTTGGCCTTTTTAATATTTTTTATGCTTGAGATGTAGAGAAAATTATGTACATGTATCTAATAACAGAAATAAGCTGAGCATATTCTAACTTTTTTCTTCATTTCATAAGGATATTTCTGCTGGATATGTTTTCGGATTTAATTTGTTCGTTTTGACAATATCTAAATAAAAGGCGTCCTAAGAAGCTTATTTTTCTTCCGAACTTTAAGACCTGAATTCGGCAGAAGCATTATTTGCTAGCGCAGAAGCTTAAGCATATGTATTATGCTGTCTTATAATGAAAGATTAATGCATTACTCTTTGAATTAAATTTATCAAACTTTTCAAATTTAATGTTTGTAATAATTATATATTTATGAACCTATATGTGTACAGACGCTCCCAAATGGTGTTTGTAGACTTATATTTCCTTAAATATTCAATCATAGACATCTAGGGCAATCATTAAATTTTTTTTCAACATGAAGTAGCGAGTTTTATGGAAATAATTTTAACACTGGAGGTAGGTGAGCTTTCTAATCTAATGTTTTATGCATTCTGTATAGAGCAAATGTTCCGATTAATGAAATATTCATTATGCTTTAGTATTGTAACGAATTTGTACTTAAGATAATAATTTTGGTAGAATTATAAGTAAAATTGTTGTATTTCTTTTGCAACACGAAAATCTAAAGAGGAACTATGCCGGAAAAGTAAGAATACAGGGGCAAGTGCATTTAACATTGAGTAAATGGGTATCTCGGCAATTTGGCGAGATATCGCCAAGTTAACAACGGTTTTGGCGACATAATTTGTGGCCGAATTTGGCGACCATTTGGACACATTTTGGTCCGGTCCCGGTATCACCCTAATATATATTCAAATTGAATTAATTAAATTGACCACCGTGTTAGCTGTAACCATAATTCCACTCTCCTATTGCTTTCCAGTAATTTTGAGAAGCAGAAAGTATTAGAAATATGTCGGCGGCCGCTTCAAAACTATCTAAACCTGAAGAGAGATCTGCTCTCAGTTGCTTAGTTGTTGTTGCTGCGTGTTGTTAGTTCCACGTGAACTGAGGTATCCGAGTTAGCTTTCTCTTTAGATACGCTTTGCATTGTCTTGTGTTTAATGTCCTTAGTAGTTTCACACGTAACTACTGATTGTACGCTGTGATACTGTGAACTCTTGTATGAGTATTTCTGCAGAAAATTCCAGAACTTTGGAGTGTTAATTATGATAAATAAATTTTTATTAACCTATCATCGGGACTGTTACGAACTGTTTCAATCCGCAGGTAATATTATGTTAGATTGATACCAGTACAGAGCTATTAAACATTGAACTGATTAAAATTATTTTTGTAGTTGATAATTTAAAGTGCGAAAAAATACAGAAATTCACTTTGTAATAGACAATAATAGATTGTAATTTATAATAGAATTTTTAATTTAGTTAAAAAATTTGTTTTATTAAAATAAAAAATTGGTTCATCAGTTACTTTTAGATCAAGCGTTCGGCCCGAATGCAATTTCAGTTTTAGAGCACTGACTACAGCTTTCAGCTGCAACATCTTATGGCATTTCGATTTCGATAAAATGTGTATTGAAGAAACTATCTTTATTACGAATTGCAGATGATCACCGATTAGCCTAAATTTTTAGACTTATGTTGATTTTCAACTACAGAAGAAAATTGTTGACATATAATTATATTCCCAAGTTAAGGTATTATTCTTATTTCAAATGTTTATAATTGACGGTATTTATCAATGTTTATAATTGACGATATTATCATTGTTTATAATTGACGGTATTTATCAACGTTTATAATTGACGGTATGTTTATAATTGACGGTATTCATAATTACGGTATTTATCTTTTAACACATACGAAAAAAGTTTATCCAATCTGTATCTTCAAATTTTTTAGTAAGATTTATATCTCAATGTAAATTGATTGTAGGTGTATTGGTAGATTTTCTGGGACGTTACTCATATTTGCTTTTCATGGTAGGAAGAATAATGAAAAGTGAATTCAGAATCATTAAGATATCAAAACCTTTTTCAAGTTCTTACCATAATAAAATATGTCATAGTAATGCTAATGATTTACGGGAAATATATTCGCGGACCTCCTAAAATTGTTTTGGAAATGCATGCGGCCGGTGGGCCACCAGTTTAAGACTACTGACATAAGTAGCGATTCTATAAGTGTATACGACTTCATAAAGATTAATAAATTTTTTACTAATCGGAGTTTTGTTCTTCAGAAACACATAAAAAGTTAAATTCCGTATTTAGACTTCTTTCTCACAATGTGGAAACTATTTTCATGAAATTGTGCTTCCTATTTAAGAGAAATTTTATAACTGGAAGCAGGATCGAAAGGTAAGGTCCTGGTAAAGATAGGCACTTGGCTTCATGTGTGCAAATAGAAGGAGAAACGTATTACATATAAGAAATTAAAGTTAACTGAAAAGGAAAATAAATATGATAAACAAAAATTGATTTGTTTTCTATGTATTTTCCACTTTCCTCTACGCGAACAGGCACCTTCTAATTAACTTTCCGCAATTTCAGGATCTTGCCCCTACACCAGCACTTTCGAGAACATTCTGGCA